CCTGTTGCTGTCCTCCTTTGTGTGGCTCATCAGCTCTCCCCGACTCAATCTTTCTCTGAAGGAAAAATGATCAACCGATGGAAATGGCCGCATCGCTGCCAGCAGGCAATTCCCCTGGTGTTTGTCACAGCACCTGCCACCAAGTGACCTCAAAACAATAAAAAAACACTTTTCTGTATGAAACACGTCCGTTCTTCCTGCTCCTTCTATGATTGAACTGAGCACAGCTGATTCAGTGCCCTTTATTAAGAGAAGATACTGAGACTTATTCAGTAGCCAGTGACTTGCAGGTCACTAAATCTTGCTGTGGATTTACAGAGAGCTGTGGGTATGGCTGTGCCATCAGTTCTTTCTCACTTGAGGCAAATGAGATTATTTCTGTAGGCTAAGCATGTGCTTACCGCTGTGCTGCATCAGCACGGCGCTCAGCAATTTTGGGGATTGCTCCTGAAACATTTAAACATCAGTGGTTTCAGGATGCAAGTCATAGCGCTGGTTTCGATCTACAAAACCTTCTTTTGGCCTAAAGCCCATCTCTGTAGGGAAAGGAGAGATCTCCACACAGGAGTATTAAAGCAAAGTGAAGGCATTCTGGCTGCTCAGCATCCACTTCCTCTGAGAGCCCCATTAACGTGTCCTAAGCAAACCCAGCTTCTTTTGAAAGAAGACCGAGCGTCTCCAGACTTAATGCACTGCATCCTGCAGCAACAGCAGCAGAGCAGGGCTGCAAGCTAACGCTGCTCCCAGGGGCACAAAGGGGAGAGCTCCACTGGAGACGGCCAGCGCAGGGCGTGCAGTGTGAACACAGCAGCAGCTCCATACCGGACCGAGGGGCACAAAAGCATCCTGGTGTGCCCATGAGGAAGGAGACAGTGCCACACAGCTTGGCACTGCAGCACGCTGTGTACCCACCTCCCTTTGCAGACATGCTCTCGGGTTGCATTGGTAGCACTGGAAGATTTCCTTTTTTGTTAATTTTTCCCTTGCTGTCGCTAGTTCTAATTCAATTTCATGTGGTTTTCTGGACTTTCACCATATCCAGTTACCTTTTGTCCACAAAACTAGACAACATGGTGCCTGTTGTAAGCATCCCATTCACATCAGTTGAACAAATAATCAGACAGTGAGAAATTTCCGGGATTTATACAAAAGAAAAAACAATCTGCTACAGGCAAGGCTGCTTTTTGAAACAGCTCTATTCAATACATTCTACTTTTGGAGCTCTGAGCCCCAAAACAATATATGCTGACACAACCCTTGGCCGTGGCACTGAAAAACACTTCCCAGTCTCTTATACAACAATGTTCGTATCCTTGACTGTGTTATCTGTAATGTGCAGAAGGACTCTAATTACAAAGAGCTGTGTGCAGGTACAAGGGCTGCAGCTCAGGAATGGAGCACCAAGATGTGACTGGCCAGAGCTTTTTCTGAGCAGGGAGCATGAGGAACACGCTTGAGAAAAGTTTTATTGTTGGACTGAAGGAATTACTGGCTGCCTTTGTATCTGTTTGCTGCTATGGGACACACAAGAGTTTTACTGGAAATGCATTGAGAGCAGGGCACCTGGAATTCTGAAAGGCTCGTCTCAGAAATCCGCTGACTTTCAATTCATGTTGCAAATGCATTTATAGAAAAAGGGGAGCAAACAAAAAATTATTCAAGTGTGAAAACAAAGAAACAAACATACAAAGCATCACTGAGAAAAGAACGGGAGCTTAAGCATCTTGTTCTGAAGCAGATAACTGCGTCCCGTTTTGAGTTTCTGCAAGTTGGGTTGTCTGTATTGTAATGCAAAAACACAACATGGAAATCAAAGAACTCAGACAATGCGAAATTATGGAGCTGCCAGATTTAAACTGGCAGGCAGCAACGACACGCTTTTCAAGTTGCTTTTCTCCTCCCTCCTCCAAACAGGGCACAGAATTCATCAGGCACAAATTCTAACTGATCGCATTTCAAGGGTTAATTTTGATAGACTGCGTTTTGAAGTGGAGTTTAAAACAGCCTCAGGTAGAGCTGGCTGTAAGCAGAGATTAGTTAGCCTGCATAGATTATCCAGAACACGCTTGGCAAGTTCCTGTCCAGAACTGCTCTGAAAGTAGATCAAAGTCCTACAGATGTGGTTCAGAAGCCACCCCTGACAGTAAATACTGCGGTGCTTCATTTTCTACAGCAACCGTTCCAAAGGAGAAGCTAATTTCCAAGCTCACAACTGCAGCGTCAGGCTGTAAAGCAGCAGCGTGCTCTGACGGGCAGCGCGTTGAGCTGAGCTGCGATGTGCCAATCAGCCAGCAGGAGCCAGACATCTGATGGGGATGGGCCACAGCCACAAGCAACCTCTGTTTTGCAGAGGGCTTTTCAGGAATCCAACCCACAAGACAGTCTTTGTAAAACACTGCACTGCTGCTGTCTTTCACACTGCATGAAATCCTGCTGATGAACTTCGGAACAAAATACCCTTTCAGTTGATGCAAATGCTGGCGCACAATCTTTACACTCTCTCAGTCAGTACCAACACAACTAAGGTTTTCTGGTTCTGAATGTTATCAGAGTTCCTTTTGTTTGTCTGGTACTTACACTGTTCTGGTCAAGTTCATCCAAGGTGATAAGGTGAAGTAATACCTTTCAGAGGAAAGCAGAGCTGAGGATTCAGCACGCAGCCTTTTCATTAGCACCCTGATTTAAAACCAAAAGCCCAAATCCTACCTTTACCATACACATTAGTTTACTCATTTCTAGTGGTACAATCATTGCAAATCATGACCAAAAAAAAAGGCAGAAATTGATATGGATATTTATGAAAACAAACTAATGCCACTTTCTCAAATTACTTCTATTGCTTACGTGTTTAGAACAGAAGCTCCCAATTAGAATTCACATTGATTGTGTGCACTGCCATGACAGCTATACACAGGTTTTTTTCCCCCTTCAGCACGTTCTCTGATCCTGTAATGAGCGAAACTAGAACTATTAACCCACACAAATTCTATGGTAATTCACACAGAGAGTTAGGCTTAAGTTCACAGAAAACTATTCTATATACCACCTTTTCCTACACTGTCCTCCTTTCCACAAACACAGACAGATAATAAACTAGTTCTGAGTGAAAGTCACACTTGTGTTCACTTTCTTCCAGACCTCCTACAGCTTGCTCTAAAATGACTTCTTCCTCCCATCTGTTTGGATGCATGAAAAAGTCAAATCCTGTCATGACCTTGGCCAGCCGTAAAGAATCCGACAGAAATATTCAAGTGTTTTGCACTAAGTCATGTAGAAACGTGTTCTACAGCAAAGCACGAGGGGAGCATTATTTATCATCGTGTCATTGCACAGGTCAAGCATCATGTTCACAACCACTCCTCCCAGCCACCTCAATCCAGCTGTAGATGAGCAGTAAGTACTGTGTTAATGCTGCTGCTGTTTGGACTGCAGCGAGAGCTCAAGCAGAGGAGATTGCTAAGCTCCCAGTCTGTTGAGATTCAGGCAACACACACTGCAGTTTACTTATGTGGGAACTGGCATCCTGGAGGAGACAGAAAGGAAGTCAGTTTTTTTGTACCAGTGCTGCTTTTTTTGTTCTAAATAAACTATTCTTATATACTTGCAGTCAAATCACACTCAAAGCCTTCCAAATCGACAGGGCCATTTCTGCATGCATTTAGGAAAACACTGCATAGCAATAAACAGCATTTCTATTGCAGAACTGCAATGATCCTCTAAAAGCAAACCATGCCAAACCAAAACTACAGAATCTTCATTTCTATATGATGCTCAGCACAAATTGTTATTATGTGCTTCCAAATTTTGCAGAATTCCAGAACAAGGAATGACGACAGAATTTTTTTGGAAAGCTAACATGAAAGATAACACACCGATTATTAGCAACAGAAAAACTGAGCATGCCTCACAGAGCTCAAATGAACACAGGTCAGAAGGCTTGTAAGTCTCTTGAAAACCATTTTATGTAAAGTTTTTGTTCACCACGTCCCTTCAGACAGCACGAGTCCTCTCAGGCACACGTGCAGCCCTACCTTCACCTCCATCTGCCTTTCACGGGACTTCGCAGCCTTTCTGCACACACAGCTGTTATCTCATCAAGGTGCCTCGCTTTCTTGCTATGAAGGTAATGTTTGCTCGTGGCAGAACTGAGCAGATACAATCGTACAGCTATGGCTAAAACCACGTGTGAATACAAGGAGCCTGACATTGCTGACAGTGAACCAGGTGACTTTAAGTCCGAATGCTTTTGCATTACAGAGCCCACCCCCACCGGGCGGTCTGTGCGGGGCTGGCGGGCGCTGCCTGCAGCGGGCAGCACGGCGTTACCCCACAGCCAGCGCTGCCTGAGGAGAAGCCGAGCGCGGCAGTGCCGGGGAAGCTGCGGGGGACGTCGGGGAGTGATTCTGACCGGAGCACGCAGCAAACAGGCAGCCGACGGCCTCCGACGCGTTAAACGCCGCAAAAACGGATTAAAACAAACAAATATCCTCTGAAATCTGTGAGGAGATCCCGCACCGCACCGACCGCCGCACGCTCTAATGCTCTCGAGTGACGTCACCGCGCCGCCCATCCCAGAGGGGAAACCAGGGTTCGAATCCCGCCTCGGCCGGGAGACCGCGAGCTGCCAGCTCAGGATCTGCGGGACGGCAGAGCCGCTCGGAAATGAAGAATGCTGAGCCGACCCATGTGAACCCAACCGCAGGTCGATGAATGGAAGTGACTGCCCTGTAAGCTTTAAAACAGAACAGCTACCAGAGATCCAGTGAGCTCGTTAGAAACACCACTATCTTTTAAAATACATTTTCCTGCAAGCAGACCTGTGGAGCGTTCCTCCCGCTCTCATTTCTCAGATTTTATGCTGGCAAGTCAGAGGTGCATGCTTCTGTACATTTGATGTATGCTTTAAATACTTAATTCAGCAGAAAACTCTTAATTACTTAAATTATTATTTCTCTATAAGATTAGGAATGAAAATAGCTCTTCAGAAAACAGAAGCCATCTTCAGTGAAGAAGAGGAATTTTATTTAAATCTTCATGCGTAGGCATGATAGACCCCAATTTTACTTCAGCAAACATCACAACAAAAAAAATCCAAGCAGCCTATACAGAACAGTGAAATTGCCAAGGATGTGGGCTCTCCACAGCATCACTGCAGAATCCATGGGTTTAGAAGCCTCACTTTGGCTATGCCATTTATAACCATGTAATTAAATAAAGGTAGTCTTCAACCATCACTTCTTGACTTCTCCAAGATCTTCAATGCTATCATCATCCACCTGGGGGAGAAAAAAAGCCAAAACACCACATTAAATATATTTCCTTCTTGCATGTCTCATTGCTGTATGTGCAATGAAGTGGGGAAGCTTTCAGCACTCCATGCTCTGGGAGTCTGGTTTTTTTTTTTTTGGACAGTTGAAACAGCAATCAACTTCAATCACTCCTTAACCTAATGATTCATAGGTTGGTAGGGGGGCAACAGTGGGTTACTTCTGCACACCGGCCTGTGCTGCCCAAGATCACATCTGTCTCTGAAAATCACTGGAAACGTCACAGGCTACTACTGAAAACTAGAGCTCTTACAGAGAAAGCCACTGGTTACCTCAGGCCACTTCTCCTGGATTACATCGATAATGTCATCTGTGAAATCGCCCTGGATGATGATTTCATCTTCTCCTGTTACTGAGGCACCGCAGGAAAATTTCTGAGCAAAAAACCTTTGTGCTTCCTTAAGATCGATTTCTGTGTGTGGGAAAACCGACAGTTGAAGAACAGTCATCGTCCAGATAGCAGATCTTCCCACAATTAAAACTGTTTTAACCATGGTAGTTTAAAGTCCAGACTTCAGTACTTCCATTGAAATTCTGCAAACCACTCAAGGTAATACAATCAGAAGAAATATCTGAAAGGTTACCTTTTCTCCTCACATTAAAGAAGCTAAGACTCTAGGTAAGATGAGGTTAAGGGCAAGCGCATCTAAAATCTACACAACACACCAACAAATGTCAACTCACCAAACGTTGCAAGGCCACAGACTCTTGTGACATATTTTTTCTTTGCTCTAGGGATTTTAGCTATTGTGACTTTTTGTGGTACGGTCTTCTTTTTCTGTTTTATCTGACCTCTTCCACCTTTAAAGCAGAATATATTACATGATTAGTTAAATGACGTAACAGTTAAAGACTGTAGGTATATTTTAGTCCTGTAAACAAAGAAACCTATCTCCCAGTCTGTGTATGTAAACAAGAAAGTATTTTGGATGTTAGTCATCTCCCATTCCAAACCTTCTAGTTTAATTTCTTAAAAGAAAGGTCCCAGGTCAAAAGTTAATGTTACAAGAAATAACAACATATGCATGTCAAATGTGCATTAAAGTTCAGAATGCACATCAGAACCTCGATGGGTGTTTCCCACATTCCACTAACCACTGCATTTGGTCTACATTTAACCCCTCTTTAAAGGATTTTTCTTTGGTACTCATCTTAAGTTAGGAACAAACTGTTACTTTTAAATCTTTATGGCTTTTGTGTAAGGCAAAGAAAATTACTTGTGTCTATTTACTAAGGCTAAGAAACCTTGCCTGCTTAGACTGCTGTGTCAAACAGCACATGAAGTTCTGAGTATCAACACAGGACTGCAGTACAAAACAAATCTATATAAAGGCTAGCAGGAAAAAACCCAACCCCTCAGAACACCACACCTCAAGCAGAAGGCAGCTACAGTAATTGACTGCCAAACTTGCACATGACTTCATTTCTTATTTACTGTCTGTTTCTAGGTCAACTTGAGGGAATGCTTCACACATCAGGTAGATATAAGTCAGAGTAAGGCATGCAGAAGATTAATCCCACTCATTAGAGTCCTTCAAATCAGATTACGATCTCAGCTAACTTTGTACACACTCATCAAGTTACCCCAGGGTAACTAAAGTCCTGTTCCAGAGCTTTCTCACCAAGAAAACTTAAAAGAATCTATGTCAAGCAGACTCACTTCTTGTGAATGCTTTTTTCCCCCCTAACATGCAGCACTTTCAATTCTGCATCACTAGAATTTGGCAAATAATAACTTAAGACAGTAAATTTCTCTCTCAAAGTTTCTTCAGTCAATACCTGCAGTAATTTTCTGCTTGTTTCTTCTCTTTTCATCCTCTCTCTCCAGAGTTGTGCCATCATACTTCACACTATACTTTAAATTGTCACAAAACTTGAGGTTCCATTTCTGGATTTCCATTTTCACCCACAAATATTTTAAACACTTATTTTATGACCAAAGCCAAGCTGACAACTATCAGCAGCATGCCACACCATGACATTATATTTATAGAAAATGTTCTGAAGTGTCTGGAAAAAAGCACCCAAGCTAGAGAATTTAAAGCTACTTTTGTCACTACACATATCCCACAGACAAGGATAAACATGACTGGTTCCCAAGGCACACAAATAAAACATCTGCAGGGACATGTGGCTTAAAATTTGAATCTCAGTGGGCTACAAACCATCATTTATGAAGCACTACAGGCACAACTGACACCAGACAGGCAAATATGTATTAATAACTACAGTATTCTAATTTGTGGGGGAAAACTATGTTAATTAAACAGAGAAATCCAACAATAAAACAGTATCTGTTCTTAGTGCATAGCTCTATCTATGCTAGAAGAGACATAGCTGTTAATGGAGACAGGTAGTAGTGCTGAAGTGTAAAACCAAATTATGTTATGAGAATTCTGAGAGACAGAAGGAAAAAAAAGGCAAAAGTAGTGGTCTGAGGCATTAAGAGAGGAAAGCTTCTTTGTTCTACTCTGGAAGCAACCTGTGAACTGCTGCTAAACAAAGCAGAAACCTTTTGGGAGGTACACCAGTGGACTGCAAGTTGAGAATAAGTACTCTCTGAATAAGTGCCACAGCAATGACAGGAGCACGTGGAAGCAGCTCACCTTTCTCTTACTGCTACTATTATACAGTTCCTTTGTTAGCATCTACCTCCATGCAAACTCTGCTGCTAGTTGAAAGGAATTTATTTGGTACTGGCTTAGCTAACAACCAAAACGCAAGGAACTGTGCCACAGTCTAAGCCCATAGATCAGGAAAAGGTGACCCCAAGAGCTTATAAATCAATACCACAAGCAACTATTTAGACCTTGCCTCTCTTTTGCTTCTTCTTCTCTTCTTCTTCTCCTGCAGTTCCTTGGCCTTCTCCAACCCCAGCTTCCTGTTTCGGTGAATTTTCTTAAATACATCAGAGAGGAATGGTGAGAGAACAAAAGAACAAAATTAGCAGTGTAACACACGCCCTTAAAGAAACAAGAAATCAGCTACACTGACATTTCACTGGGCCCCTAAGTAGCTTGCTCTAGTGCAGCATCCCCTGACTGATGCGTGTTCCCTAAAGTCAAATTGGTCAAATTAGGCTTGTGACCTTCATTTCAAAGATACAGTTACAACTTTAATAGTCTCCTTCAGTAATCTCAGAAAGAGACAAAAATTACTGGCACTGGAAATTCAAATCATCAAGTTCCATAGCACTGATGACCTGCCTCCCAGCAACCCGCTGCCTGCACTGCAAAGACATAAAACTGGATAAATCAGCTTTGACAGGAAGCAACTGCATGTTGTCACAGTGCTCATTGTAGAAACCTCAGTATGGGCCAAACATCATTTCTGATTTTTTTTTTTCTGACGTAATCAAACTTGTTTTCACAGCATCCAAAAGCAGGCTGAACTCTTGGGAAAATAATTTAATTTTCAGACTCAATGCAGATGGAAGAGATGAGAAATGGGCAAGCTCAAGAATTTGTTTGTGTGTCTGAATACACATATTAACCAGGAATAAAGGAAAATTCTCACCTACTGTAAGTTTTGCAAACTCATCTGGAAAGTTCTTCTCTAACCACTGTCTGCATTTAGTCACATCAGGCATGTATTCGCAGTACTGGAGAAGAAAGGCCACATAAATGCTGTTGGCAAAGTAATTACAAGATACATCACAAACAAAAACAACAAAACCCTTTTGCTATTTATTTAGCTCGGTCATTTCTCCTTAGCCCTCCAAATACCAATGCTTCACCAGCACACAGGAAGACACATGACATCCTAAAGATGACAGCAGATAAAAGCACAGAATCGACATAACTGAAAGCAAGAAAAGATCAGAAAGAATCATTGTGGAAGTCATACTGGAAAGAAGCAACAAAAAACTAACTCACCTCTGTTGGCAATGAACAGACTGGAGCAAGAGGGAAAAAAAAAAGAAATTACAATTGAGTTCTCAACACACAGCCTTAGTGTTCTAGTTAAACTGGTATTCTGAAGCTTTCTTTCATCATAATATCTTGTAATAAACGTATGCTGATTCAAAAGATGACAATGATACCATTGTAATTTTTCTCTTAGTCATTTGCTTTCATGCTGTGCATTAAGATAAATCTATCAGAACAGCAGCTTCTTGGGCAGTCTTCATCCTACAGAACACACCCAAACCAACAATGCAGCCTCATTCACAATAGAAATCCTGCAACGATATTCAAACCCAATGCAAAATAATATACTTATCTAAAGCAAAGACCTCAACATTATATCCTTCAAAAAACCCAGACGCATGACAAATATGAGTAAAGCATAATTCCAAACAGTGCATCAATTACTTCCCTTAACTTTATTCCTTGTTCTCATACCAACAGTTAGATGGCTTTTCTATGCTAAAGGTTTTACCAGCTTTCTGCGGGAACAAATCTTTGCTCAAAATGTCTGAGCACCACTCCTCTAACAGAGCTTTCATATCCAGAAGGCCATCAGCACCTCCGTCAGAAAGGTCACCCTGACCATGGTCTATCTGACTCGAAGCTGACCAGAAGAAAACCTCCAATCGTCTCACTTTTTCTGCCTGGCTGCCCTTACTAACACCCCACTGTAAGAACTGTGGGCTGCTGCCCCTCAGCACTTGCCTCCGCAGTAGAGGACCCGAAGGGGGTAGTCAGCATCTGACCTGGCACCACTCCTTATGTCTCCTCTACAGTCAGGGACCACAGGCTCAGCTACATCTGTGGCCATGTCACAAGCCTGCAGGTTACAAAATCAAAGAGTCAGGACTCACGTTTTGTATTATTTACATCATTCCCTACATAACAAACTCCCAGAGACTGACCAAACTACAAAGCCCAGAGAAAAGAGGTGTAACTGTAAGAGCAGAAGTAGTCAAGGAGTTTAAAAACAAAAAAAACCAAAAAAACTGTCAAAAACAGTGGGACTGAGTGCACCAGGGAGCCCCGGGACCACCAGGGCTGTGTCTGTGAAGACTCGGGGCAAACAGGAGCCGCAACACAGCCGAGGGAACGGACCCGGGAGCCCGAGGGGCGTAGAGGGGCAGGGAACCCCCGAGAGGCGGCGACGGGCCCCGGGCAGCGAGGGGTAGGCAGGCTGCTGGGCACCGACGGGGACCGGGAGGGTGCGGAGGGCCCGGGGGACAGCAGGCGGGGTGGGGAAGGATGCCATGAGGAGCGCGGGAGGGGTGAAATGAGGCAGAGAGGCGCGCGGAGCCCTGCGGCCGCAACACCGTGGCGTTACCCGGGCGGCCCCTTAGGCCGCGGCTCCTCCTCAGGCGGCGGCTGCAGCTGCACGCACCGCGCAACACGCGCGCCCTCACAGCGCCGCCACCGAAATCTCGCGAGAGCTGAGCGTTCCGAGCCCTCGGCCGCTCCGTAGCCGGGAGGAGCTCGCGGGACCTTCGCGCTACGGAGCGGCGGAGGGGTCAAGCGCCGCCGGTCTTGCGTTGCGCGGAGGCCGGCATGCCGCGCTACGCGCAGCTGGTGATGGGCCCGGCGGGCAGCGGCCACGTGAGAAGGGTCGGAGGGGCGGGGGGGGGGTGGGAGGGATGGCGACGAGCGGGCGCTGACGGCGTGTGCGTGCCTTGCAGAGCACGTACTGCTCCACCATGCTGCAGCACTGCGAGGCGCTGGGCCGCGCCGTGCAGGTGGTTAACCTGGACCCGGCCGCCGAGTTCTTCAGCTATCCCGTCATGGCAGGTGAGTGCACTCTGCGCCTACCTGGCGTCCGGAGAGAGCTGGGGGGACAGGAGCTTATCATGGCAGCCTTGTGCTGCCCACGTCCGTAAGCGTACTGTCGTTGCAGATATACGGGAGCTCATAGAGGTGGATGATGTGATGGAAGATGATTCCTTGCGGTTTGGTCCCAATGGTGGCCTGGTGTTCTGCATGGAGTACTTTGCCAATAACTTCAACTGGCTGGAGGAGAGCCTCGGGCACATGGAGGATGATTATATACTGTTTGACTGCCCAGGTAAACAGATGTGTGTGTTTTGATGTCATACTTGGTATGCAGAGGTTGGAAAAGAGCCACGAATTGGTTGAGTCCAACACCACATAATGCTGCCAGGACCACTGCAGAACTGTGACCTGAAATCCCAAATCATAGAATATCCTGAGCTGGAAGGGACCTGTGAGGATCATCAGGTCCAATCCAGGGCTCTACACTGCACCACCCAAAATCCAAACTCTGGGTCTGAGACTGTTTTGTCCAAATGCTTCTAGAACTCTGGCAGCTCGGTGCCGTGCCCTCTGCCCTCTGGTCCTAATGCAGAACCTTTCCCTAATACCCAGTCTGACAACCCTCCCCTGACACAGCTCCATGCCATTCTCTCATTCTTTTCATTCAACTGTCAGTGGTTCAGACAGTTCCCATACAACATCCAATCTAAAGCCCCCTTTGTGCAACTTGAGGCCATTTCCTCATCTCTTGTCACATGATTTGCTGCAGTCTCCTTTCAGGTCCCTGTAGTGGTCTGAGGTCTCCCCTCAGCCTCATTTTCACACATTTTTTGGTTTGTTAACGGTTGTCAAGAGTCACTTTCAGATGCTCCAGAAGTGAATTTGGCCCCATTTGAATTTGGGTGACAGCACTGACTTTTGGTAACATCATACAGTGGGTGAAGTCTATGGCAACTGCTAACAAATGCTAACTGGACATCAAGAGAGGAAAATGCAGCTCTTTTTTTCCTCTCCAGATTTACTGTATGATTCCATCCAAATACAGGCAGGGTTGTCTGAAAAGAGACTGTGTTTTATTAGCTGTTATTCATATTGTGTAATGCCAATATTTCCGTAACTAATAACTGTGAGCTGTTTTTATTAGCTTTACATTTCTGCATACTGATATCCCAAGTGTGTCTTAGGTCAGATTGAACTCTATACACATTTGCCAGTGATGAAACAGCTGGTGGAACAGCTTCAGCAGTGGGAATTCCGTGTCTGTGGAGTGTTTCTTGTCGATTCGCAGTTCATGGTGGAATCTTTTAAGGTATCCATTTGAAATCTTGTACAAATTCTTGTAATGTTTTACAAAAGTCCATGCTGGTATAGAATAAGAAAGGGAACTTGGTTTGTTTGGTCCAAAGGAAGGAATGCAAAGCAGGGGAAGATCTGATTGCTGTCTTCAGCTGCCTCAGTTATAGAGACCAGACAATGTCTTAAAGTCCATTTCAACCTAAATTGTTCTGTTGTTCTATAAGAGCTTTCTCAGACAGAGAATGACCCCTTTCCCTGTTGAGCAATAAGAATCCCGAGAAGGGCTTTCAGTCTTCTTAATGTCCTTTTCGGTGGCATATAATGTGCTTCAGAGCTCTGGCAATAGATTGCAGCCAGGTACCTTAGCACCTCCCTTTTCCAGCAGAGATAATGATTCTTTATGCCCATATGCAATATATTTATAAGTTAGGCTTGGTCTGTGGTAGTGTCCTGCATGAAGATTTTGTGCTTTTCTGTACTTAACTACATTTTTCGTATTCCTTAAGTTTATATCTGGAATTCTGGCAGCACTCAGTGCAATGATCTCTTTAGAGATTCCACAGATTAACATCATGACTAAAATGGATTTGCTGAGCAAGAAAGCTAAGAAGGAAATAGAAAAGTAAGTTCCAAAGCATTACTTACTCTGTAGTGTAATATCTTGATATAAACTTCACTCACAATCACAGAATGATGGGTGGTTGTGGTAGTTGTGTAAAAGCATAGTGACTCATTTGTTCTGTATTCCGTTGTTAATGATGGCTTTGTTTCTCTCAGGTACTTAGATCCAGATATGTATTCTATGATTGAAGATTCTACTGATATATTGAAAAGCAAAATGTTTAAAAAACTGACTAAGTCCATATGTGGATTGGTACGTATCGTGCTCTTTCACTGGTATTCTTTAATTCAGCTGCATACTTGTAAACCATACTTTGTGGTTACTGACTTCACTGCTGTGCTAGATACTGTATGTACTGTAACATTCTCCCCCTGCCCCCCAAGGCCATGTGTTTACCTGCAGATTTATTAACAAAGCCTGAATCTAAAAGATCACCAGGCACTTGAACATTTTTCTTTTTGCCTGTCCTAACTCAGCTTTTGATGTTTCAGGTTAGCATAAGATTCTTATGCTGTAGCCAGTAAAATTCATGGAATCATATTCTATTAGCAATTTTGGGAGACAGCTTTATTGACTGGGTAAAAGTTTGGACTGATAGCCAGGAATTCAGAGTGGAGAATTGCCATTAGCTTGCAGTGTGGCTTTAAGCAGCCCTAGATTTTCCTTGTCCAGATTGCTGAGCATAGCTTGCAGCAATGGTGCAGTAAGAAAACTTAGTGTATTTCCCTACTGATGTCTTTTGAATCCCTGCTGCAGATTGATGACTATGGTATGGTTCGATTTCTACCTTTCGATCGCTCTGATGAGGAAAGTATAAACATAGTTCTGCAGCACGTAGACACTACCATCCAGTATGGAGAAGATCTTGAGTTTAAAGAACCGAAGGTAAGGTACTTCTGAAGATAAGATGAAACATTAGAAAGGATCCATAATACAAATGATAACTGAAATATGTCCTTTGAATTCTGAAGATCATAAAAGATGATTGTATACCACTAAGATCTCTACTTGCGTGTCTCCTTGAGCTTCCCCTAAAATTTCTGCATTGAGTCCATGTGCTGTAAAACCATGCCTAATCTTTTATACATCTGTCATGTAAAATGCATAATGGAAGATCAACGGGTTAAAATCAATTCCAAGCTCTGTTTATTTTCATCATTCAGCTCATATATCCTAAGAAATAAGTCCACAAGTTCTATCGCATTTTTTTAAATTCAATTTTCTACTCTCTAAATATTCAAAATAAATGCATCTAGATTTTGATGTATACATTTTGGATAGCTTTAGAAACAAATTGCTTTTCAGAAAGTTTTGCTCCTTGTTTTGTAGAACAATGTTGGACATTGTTGTGGTGACTAAAATAAAGCATCACAGAACTGATGATGTCCAACAGTCACCGGAGAAAAGTCAGGTTTTACGCTTTTTGTTTTTTTTGTTGGCAGGAACATGAAGAAGATAAATCTGCACTTGTGGATGAGTATTTTCAAGATCACGTGAATGAGTAAAAAGCAAATGCTGGAAAAGAGGAAGAAAATACATTGCTTGTGTGTTTTAAAGGAAACAAAGACATTCCCTTCCACACAAACATATTTATTTGATGTTTTGCCTTTAAGATAACTAACATTTCTAGTGAAAAGTGAGCTATATGACAGTTTATATGATGGAATATAGTGATCTATATTACTGTTTATAGTTCTTTTGTAAATACAGAATGTTCCTGGATTCTCAAGTGTTTTCAAAATACTTTTTATTACTTCTCCTAAAATTTATTAGTCTAATTTATTAGCTACCTTCAGCTGAATTGGAGGATGTTTTCCTGCTAGTCATGCCCACGTATTTATAAACCCTTCCTTGATCCTAAGAAATGAGGTTTTATTCATGGAGTTATTGAATAAAAGTATTTTCTATAAAGGGCCTCACGGTTATGTAAAGCTTGGTATCAGCAAATGTCCCTATATAGGCATGTCATCTTTCTCTATGTAATATGTAGTTCATGTTTTAGAAATTATCCCATACAAAATGTCAGCCAAATACCTTAGTAGAATAAGAGCATCTAAAGTCATTTTGGAGGAACAGCTTGGTAAACCAAACCAGTGATTGAGTTCTTTGAGGCCGTGGCACTTATCTAAATCTGAGGATGTACCAGACCTATCCCAGCACTGGACAGTTAGGTAGGAGCTCAGGGTAGTCACTGCCATAACGAGAAAGAGGTTGGAAAGCTCATGGAGACTTTGATGCATGGAGCCAGAAATCCTGACCATGCTTAATAGTTACAGTATAACCTCATTATGTGGCAAATCGTTCGATGCCTATGCTGAATTACTCACATCCTGGCAGGGCTTGATCTGGCTTGATTCCAGCCTCGCGCATCCTTTGGACATGTCATCAAATCGTAGAATGGTTTGGGTTGGAAGGGACCTTCAAAACCATCCAGGTTTCAACCCCACTGGCATGGGCAGGACTGCCAGCCATCACATCAGGCTGCCCACAGCCCCATCTGAGCTGCCTTGAGCACCTCCAGGGATGGGGCACCCACAGCTCTCCAGCAGTGCCTTGCCACACCCATGGCAAAGAATTTCTTCTTAATATCGCATTTAAACCCACCCTTATTGGTTTAAAACCGCCGACAGAACACCTCCCAGCTGTTCTGCTGCACCCTTTGTGTCGCTGCCATGACTTCTTGCAGCGTTCTTCTCCTCCAGGCTGAACACCCCACCTCTCAGCCCGCCCTCACAGCGGAGGTTTCCTCTGCTCGCGGACAGGAGAAACCCAGCCCTTCAGCTCCAAATCTCCCCAGTTTTTCGGTCTGACTCATGCGACGAGGCAGCGAGGGGCCCACTGCCCACTGGCTCACAAGAGCGGCTGACGGGTCCCCTCAGACGCAACGCGGGGATGGGGGGAGGTCGGCTCTGTGCTTCCCCGTCAGGGAGCGGCTCCTCGGGGCGGTACAGGCAGGCAGCACCGCCCCGCTGCCTCATTTCCTGAAGGAAGAGGAAGGTTTGCTGCGAGCTCGGCGACGCTGCCCTCGCACGGACCTGCGCCCTGCCCTTCGCCATGCCGGTGAGGGGAGCGGGCAGGGAAGGGTTAGGGCGGGCGGGCGCTGAGCGCCGGGGCCGCACTGTGGGGCCGGGCTGGGGCGACTGCGCGGGTGGGAGAGGGGCTGTAGGCGGGAGCGTCGCACTGAGGAGCGGATCGATGTGTTTAGAGGCTGCCGCCTTCCTCTTTCTTCCTCTTTTTTTTCCCTTCTGGCTCAGCTCTGCCCAGATCCCTCTCCTCTCTGGGCAGCAGAGCGCTCTCAGCCCGTCCTCTTCCACCACCGCTGACATGAATGGTTCCAGAATGGTACTTTTGTGGTTATCACCAGAATGGTGCTGAGTTACGGAGGGCCTCATTAAGAAATGACTACTGTTTGTGCAAGGAAAGGTTGCTGGAAACATCACTAACCAACAAAACTCTGATTTGTATTTGATGACACGGGAGAGCTGCGATCAGTCTGTGCCAGCAGGATGCTGGAAGGGCAATTTTCTGCAGCAATAATAACCAGCCTTCCCCCATCTCTAGGCTTACCATTCAACCTTAATGGACTCAGATACCAAGCTAGTGGGTAACATGGCACTGTTACCCATCAGAAGCCAGTTCAAAGGCCCAGCACCTCGAGAAAGTAAGTTTACAAGAATCTGTGAAAAGCCCTTTGTGTTTTGCTAGTAATCATCTTTCACAGTTTGCTCCAGACCAGGCCTACCAGAGCAGAAAAGTTGTGGCTTAGAAATTGGATGTTTTATAGAGGAAGACAGAATTTTCAGATACTGAAGTGGTGCAAAACACAGAAAATAACACTGCTAGGGTTGTCATCTGGAGCAGCTCCAGGTAATTCAGTTGCTTTAGCAATTAACACTGCCTACAGATGCTATTTTCACACTTCCTCCTGTGCCTCCGTGTTTTTTTCAGCAGGCTGTGAGGAGGACATGGTGGCGTGAACCCTTTGCTGTCAGAGGAAGTGGAGGTTTAGCTGCAGAACTCAGCTTTGGTGCAGTGGCTGAGGATGCTTGGCTGCTCTAAAGGAAGGAGATAGGCAATGCTGTAGGGCAGCAAAAATCTAAGCTTCAGCATTAAGCATCTCTGTACTGAAGAATTTGACAGACAGTCTGCTATGAATTCTCCTTAGCACACGGAGTTGAATTTCCCAGGCGTGGTATCTCCCAGTAGTGTGGCAACCAGTTCAAAAAAGAAAATATTTCAGAACTCAAGCAGTCTTCACTGTTTGTGAAAGAAAGCGAAAGCTGCGAGTCAACTTGTCACTATGTAATCTACCCTTCCTCTTTTTTTTTTTTTTTTTAAAGAATAATGAGGAAGGTTGTTTGATAGTGGTGTAAACTTCTTCCAAATATATTTTTGGGTCCTCAGAAAGAGTTTTAACAGCGTATTCTATACTGTTAAAACTCTGGTGAGTCACTCAACTGGTAGGAAACTGGGGAAGTGCGAACCTGCTGCCCTGTGTGAAGTCATAGTGAGAGAAGAAAAAGGGGGTTAAAACTACTAAGAGTAAGAAACTTAAATATTTTGGCCAGAGTTCACCACCAGTCTTTCATATGGGTAAGATTTAGTGTAGTCCTCTGCTTTTTGTGAACAATTTTGCTTTTGCAAGAATTATTGTTTGTGTAGTTCAGTGTGTAAAAGTTATGACCAAACGTGATGTAGCAATGCACTACTTAATTTTTTTTTTTTTTTTTAGCTAAAGATACAGATATTATAGATGAAGCCATCTACTACTTCAAAGCTAATGTTTTCTTCAAAAATTATGAAATTAAGGTAATTTTTTTTTTTTCAATAGTTCCCCTCTTATGAGGATATTGTTAGCACAAATTGCATGAACTCATTCCTATTTCAAACTCTTAGCAGTTCCATGAAGTCCCCTATAGTCTAACAGACTAGGCTCTGTGCTTACCCTTATTTTGCAGAATGAGGCTGACAGAACGCTGATCTACATAACTCTCTACATTTCTGAGTGCTTGAAAAAGCTGCAGAAGGTAAGGAGGGAACCAGCCTGTTCTGAGGATTGTACTCAGGAGAGCATTTGCTGATATTCTCTAAAGGCACAACAAACTCTGTTCACTGCAGTCCCAGTTGGCAGAACCACAAATACTCGTGGATCTGCATGGAGATGTTGTGTTGCTGTTCTTGATCAGCCTTTATGTTTTAGTGAGCATTAAAATATTTTACTCCAATGTTTTCATTTGTAACTTTTAATTGTTTGGTTGGTTCTTTCAGTGCAACTCCAAAGGCCAAGGAGAAAAAGAGATGTACACACTGGGAATCACTAATTTCCCAATCCCTGGGGAGCCTGGTTTTCCACTTAACGCCATTTATGCCAAACCTACCAACAAGCAAGAGGAAGGTAAAACTAAATAAAGAACTCTGAAGGCTTCTTTCAGTCCATGCTTTACTAGCTGCATTTTTTTTTTTTACTATGACTAGAAAATTGACCCTGAAAACTTCTGGCTCTGTTTTCTGAGGTTTTCTGACCTTAGGGGCCTGATGACTCCCCTTAATCTGTAGATCCAACAGAACAAAGTGATAGGAGTCTGAGTCTGCCTTTTGAGTCAGTGTAATTGCTAGATAGATTCTATAACAGAGCCTGAACCAACTCCCACACTGGCAAAGAGGAAGCCCAAAATGATGGGCAGAGGTTTAACTGAAAGAAGAAAACAGTTTGGATGATCCATTTCACTGATACAAATATCATAAAAATTCCAAGTATGGCTGTAAATTGAACAGGCAGCCAGCAAGGGCCTACAGATGAGAAAGCTCACATTTTCTGCTTTAAGCAGTGTTTGTCTACTGCTTCCATGCTCAATTTAGTTTGACTTAATGCTATTTTGTCCTGCTGTATTTCAGAGGTGATGAGAGCATACTTGCAGCAGCTCAGGCAAGAAACTGGTCTTCGACTCTGTGAAAAAGTATTTGATCCTCAGAGTGACAAGCCTAGTAAGGTAAGGATTTGGCCTGATCATTACAGATTTAATGAGAGGCTTGGTTGTTTTTTCCAAAAGATGGAGAGAAGCAAGAGAAGAGGGTGAGGGATCAGACATAGGTAACTCTGGAGCAGGCTTCCCTGGTTTTACCAGGCTAGCAAAACAGAGGACTGATAGTTGTCAATAAATTTCCAGCTGTAACATGGTAATTTCAATTCCAGGTACTTTAAAAAGTGGGGCAGTAATAGGCAGTTCTAGTTTAACTCTTCAAAGTACTGCAATTTTGCCATTGGCTAGGGACTCTTTTCAAATAGAAATGAAAAGGCATGAGAGATGCTGTTTATATTTCCAGGCAGTTCTGATCTCATTGCTTCTTTGAAGTAGACCATTTTGCCTTTTATCTGGATTTTAAAAAGTAGCCAATCAGTGCATGAACTACGTCCCGATCACGTATTTCATGTGCAAATATGTTTGCATTTAATAATGAGATTATTCAGGCTGATTTAGTTTCAAAGACATAGCTTTCTGATGCAGTCCCTGTTCATTATTATACTGCAATAAATACACTGGAATAGGTAATAAACATACTTTTAAGTCACTATTTCATTTATAAGATGGAAACTTCTTCTGCCTGTTTTCTGATTATGTGTTTTCTCCTGCAGTGGTGGATCTGCTTTGTGAAGAGACAGTTCATGAACAAGAGCCTGTCTGGACCTGGGCAGTGAACAGGCAGAGCAGCAACATGAAGTATTTCAACAGCAAGGTGTATGAAATATTTTGCCTTTGTTTTGGATACATTTTGTACCAAGGAAAAAAAAAAAAAGTGTTTATGAAGAAAAAAGTCAACGAGGGAAGAGGGATGTAAAGTAAAAAGATCATTTGAGTACTGTAAGCGAGTATTATTAAGCTGGTGCTTAATAAATGATTCCTAACATGCTGTTTCAGGTGCAGGCTGCTTTATTATCAGTGGCTACAGCTAGCATTTACAGCAGGGCTTTTGTTTAAAGAGAAGTGTTTGTGCCTGGAGTGGTGTGTAATTGCTCTGCTGGCTAGAGTCTCAGTATCATGTTGAGTGCAGTGATTTTTTACTTTTTTTTTTCTCCAATAAACTTAGCTTGTAATTAATGTGATCAGCGCTTTATGTCTTATGGTTAGCTTTCAAAGAAATAAAAATGAAATTTTAATGGAGAGGCCATCATGATATGATATTGGCAAATACTGTGTGTGTTTTGAGGACCTGCTGGTCCGAGCTCATTTTGTCTCCTTCATGGCAGTGCTTTCACCATCACCACACAGCACTAACATGCTTTTTGGTGGTACTCCACTGAAAGGAAAAATCCTGACACCACTGTTTTATCGCTGCACAGGATTAACTCTCCTACAGACGTACTGCGTGCTTCCTAGTTTACAGCAGCACCAGTGAGGTACTCTCCCCGACTGTGGGCCAGCAGCAGCCTAGGTTTACAGGTCTTCCTCCTCAGCTGTCTTACAGGCACGAGTTTTGCCACCTCACATCACTGCTGCAGCCATCAGACAGTGACATCTGTGGAGAAAAGCGTCCAGGCTCAAGAGCAGTGCAGACACAACGCCTAAATCTTCAAATAAAAAGCATATACACGGTGCTGAGCCAGGAAGGGACGCACCCAGCAGCGACGCCTCCCTGCTGCCGCACACTGTCACCTCACAGCGCCGCTGAGAAAAACCGCCGCTGCGCGTGCGCGGAACCATCGGGGGCCTCGCGGGGCGGCTGGGGCTGCCCGCTTCGCGCCTGTCCCGCCATGGGGGCGGTGTTAAGGCACTGCGCAGGCGCATGGAGGCAGCGGCGCAAGGCCCCCGCCTTGGCGCCATTTTGGAGTGGCGGCGGGCGTCCTGTTGTGCGCCGCGTTCTTCCTTCTGTCCTGTTCTTCCTCCGCCGCCGGCATGAGCGTGGTGGAGCACGTACGGGAGATGGCCTCCGCCGGGCTCCACTCGAACGTGCGGCTTCTCAGCGGGCTTCTCCTAACGATGAGCGGCAACAACCCGTGAGTGGCCCTCCCGCCGCGCTGACGGGACCGGGAAGGAAAAGGCCCCTGCGCTCCAGCTGCTCAGGGCCCTGAGGGGATGAAGCTGTATTCTGTCAGCCCGCCTCTGCCCGCGGCAGCAGGGGTCCGCGGCTCTTTCATGGGCTTCCCCAGTGGAGATGCAGCGATTTCCTCCTTTCTTACCACGGGTGCCCTGTGTACATCACCGCTCTTCCCCTCATTCTCGCCGTTCCCGTCGTTTTTCAGGCCTTTCCTGCATCGTTTCGGGTACTTTTGTGAGGTACTGGTTAGAACCACGGTCCCATTCCGAAATCCTCACATTTCAACACAGCAGGATGCAGCTCTGTAAGGAGCTGTGCTGTTGCCTGCATAGCAAAGCGGCAGCAACAGCTCAAAGTTGAAGCTGGATGAATAACTTCGGGTCTGTCCGTGGTTCTTAGGCTGTTAGCTGATCTCAGCCTGTCTGCATCTTTTCTAGGGAGCTGTTTTCACCATCTCAGAAGTACCAACTCCTTGTATACCACGCAGACTCTCTTTTCCACGATAAAGAATATAGAAATGCTGTCAGCAAGTATACGATGGCTTTGCAGCAGAAGAAAGCATTGAGTAAAACCTCAAAAGTAAGGCCTTCTACTGGGAATGCTGCATCAGCTCCCCAGAGCCAGGTATTTAAAAACTGAGCAGTGTGCTGCATTGTGTATCCCCCTCTGCTTTGGTTAATGTTGAAGATTCAATATTGTAGCATTAGACTGTGGGCTGCCTTTATTTCCTAAGATGTGTAATTCATGGTTTTGGAAGAGATGAGCAATGTGAGCCAGCAGTAGGTTGCATTTTTACTTTTCTTGCACTAGACATTTTAACGTACACTAAACATTGTATGTGATGGAAAGTACTGTAATAATAGCAGGGTGGCCCAATCCTAGGCTGCAGCAAATGAAAACAAGCTCTCATGCAGCAACTCTGGATACAGAAACAACAAAAGAAAATCTGCTTACCTTTAGAGGACCTCCAGTAGGCAGGATCTCCAGAGAGATCCCCTCATTTCCACTGCCAAGCCTTAAATGAGGCTGGGAAGGGCTGGGTTCTGGCTCTGCCCTTTCCAATCACATCCATTGCCTGCACCTGAGCTGCCCTGGGTTGGCCCTGCCTTCCCACCAGTTCTTCAGTCACTGTTTCAGTCTGTGACATAACATTTCCACTACAGTTGTCCTTTAATATTACATTTTATTTCAGTGTTTACCATCTGAAATTGAAGTAAAATATAAAATGGCTGAATGTTACACGATGCTGAAGCAAGATAAAGATGCCATTGCCATTCTGGATGGGATTCCTTCCAGACAGAGGACCCCAAAGGTTTGTTCTGGCAGAGGTTTGTCACTGGCACTTGCTCAGAAGGTAGAAAAAAAGGTTGAGGAAAGCAAACTTCTAATCTATACACACTAGGATAATAAAATCTTGTAGCGGGACCCAACTAGTTGGACTGCACAGAGCTTGAATCATTCCTGTTCTTTTATCAATTGTTACTGTTCAGAAGCTAAACAGAAACATTCCGTGCCTTCCTTCTCTTGAGAGCTTCCATTGATATAAAGAAATGAGCTGACAGAGAGTTAATGCAGCAGATGTACAGGTTCTTCTTGTCATGCTTAAGACACTCGCCCATTTTTGGATGTCACAGTGCTGAGATTTCCACATGCACTATGTAAATGAAAAAATGTAAGTTTTATATTTGGACTCAAGAGTCAATATTAATTGTGTAATCCATGGTAGTAGGTTACAGTGATCTCAAAAGAGCTACTCAGAACGGAAGGGAGGGAGACAGCATGCTGGAGGGAGGACAAAGTTGTCACCTTGTCTTAACAGGAACTCCTTTCTAATTCTTGCAGATCAATATGATGCTGGCAAATCTATACAAGAAAGCAGGTCAGGAACGTTCATCTGTTACGAGCTACAAGGAAGTACTGAGGCAGTGCCCATTAGCACTTGATGCCATACTAGGTAGGTTTCTCCACACTGTTAGGTACGTCAGTCCTAAGAAGCATTATGATTTGAAGCATGTTTGGGACTGGGTAATTGACTGCCATTCTACGTAATATTTAATGCAAATGTCTTTAATGCAAAAGATAAATTCACGGCAGACTGCTTGGTTGTGCTTCCTACTCTTCAGATAATTTGTAGTAATGATGATTGAAAATGTTTTTTTATCATTTTGAATACCTCTCTGAACAGGTTTGCTCTCGCTGTCGGTGAAAGGTGCAGAAGTGGCCTCCATGACAATAAATATCATTCAGAGCATTCCAAACTTGGACTGGCTTTCAGTGTGGATCAAGGCATATGCTTTTGTGCACACTGGAGATAACACTAGAGCAATCAATACAATTTGGTAAGAATTGAAAGAGCATGATGTAATGAAATGCCATAAAATATTTCTTTAATGTTATTTTAATATCATTACACATAAATAATAGCAATTTATTTCTCTTAAAGCTCTTTAGAGAAAAAGTCATTGCTGAGGGATAATGTAGACCTACTGGGGAGCTTAGCAGACCTGTATTTCAGAGCTGGAGATAATAAAAACTCTATTCTAAAATTTGAACAAGCTCAAATGCTGGATCCTTACCTAATAAAAGGTAAGTTGTAGAGGAACGTTTACCTAGAATAATGACCTGGTAAATTAAGTTAGAGTAGCAAACAAATATTGAGTGCACTATTGAGTATAGTTGTATCTGTCTTTCAATGTAGAGTTTACATTCAGAAACTGCACACTTACCAGTTGCTGGTAGTTATGCAGTTTAAACTACGTGGTTGCATTGCAAGTTGTTTAAAATGGCAGATAGCTAGAAGGTGACACATCCACTTACGGGGTTTGTACATATTAGGAATAGTTTAGTTAGGAAGTTTGAATTTATTGTAGTGAATGAGCTTTCTGTTTCTTGATGATTGACCTTCCATGTTTTCACTGCAGGAATGGATGTGTACGGCTATTTGCTGGCACGGGAAGGTCGACTGGAGGATGTGGAAAACTTGGGCTGCCGTCTCTTCAATATTTCAGATCAACATGCAGAACCCTGGGTGGTGTCAGGGTAAGATGCTCTCTTTCCTTTCTTACCCTTGATTTGAGTGAGGTTGATTACAGCTGATAGAGTGAAATCAGCTTTTTGTCCTGTTTTGGAGGTAACTCATGAGTACCTATTTTGGTTGGTTTCTTTAAGCCTAAACTGGTTTGAATTACTAAACCTTGATGTGTTAAATAGCTGTGATGGTTAATGGGTTTCTTCGTTTTCACACAAACATTTATTTCTAACGTAAAATACAGAAGATTTAGCAGTTACTTGTAACCTGATTCTTCCCTCTCTCTTCTGAGTCTCTGTGAATGTACACAGGCAGTACATGTTTACAATCCATCTTGTCTTTCCATAGGTGTCATAGTTTTTATAGTAAACGATACTCCCGTGCCTTATATTTAGGAGCCAAAGCTATCCAGCTTAATAGCAACAGCGTTCAGGCTCTGTTGCTGAAGGGAGCTGCCCTCAGGAACATGGGCCGAGTGCAGGAAGCAATCATACACTTCCGTGAAGCGATACGGCTTGCGCCTTGCAGGTTGGATTGCTATGAGGGTGAGTGAAACAAAGCTGCTCAGACTGCATTGGTGCAGCACTCATGGCTCTTATTATTAAGAAAGAGAACAGGCGAGCTCTTTTCCCCTGTTGACTTTCTGACACATAAGTTGTTATTACCCAAAAACCCGTAAAGTGCTGGTTGAAGTAGTCAGACAAGAAATACAAGAGAATGCATGTATTTATAAGAATTATTTTCAGAAAAGTTGTTTGCTTTTAAGTGGTTTAATCTGGATGTAAACAGACTTGGGTGCTTTGAGCAGATGATGACATTCAGTGTCTGGTTAGTCGTACCAGGAGCC